CCGTCTCCACTGGGATGGAGTGTTGGGGTTACAGGAACCTAGGTGGCTCTTGAACACCTTTTGATGTAGATTGCAGGATGTGGTCACAGGAGCCACATCAGTTTATTTAATTCTGGGTTCTTTGACTCCCCTCACCTCGCTTTTGTAGGGGTAAACTTTTTTTCTCTCCTATATTCCAAATCTACATGACAAAATCTAGAGAAACGCCTCTTGTCTCCTCTCCTGAGATGGAGAAAGGTGCCAGTGACGTCTCCTGTTACTTCAGGTATCTGTCCTCATGAATTGGAAAGGAAGCTTGCTGAAAGCAGACTGGAGGCCTTCACAGAGAAGCCCGCCCATTTCCAGCTGGCTGACCTGTCCACTGTCTGGAATTCTCCCATTAGAGTCCTGGGGTTCCTTATTCTCATGCTGAGAAAAGCCAAACATGACTTACGACAGAGCAGCGTCCTGCAAGACCGCAGAGCAGGGCACCGCTTCGTCCCTGGGTGACCGGGGAGCTGCAGAGCTGCCTTGCTAGGTTTGGCTGAGACCCCGGGAGGACCAGTCTCGGGCACCTGGTGGGGAGGGGGGAAAGGGACTTGTTTGATGTTACAGCGAGTTTTTGGAGGAGGCAGAGCAAGAATGTTGGCCTCCGCCGCCTGGTTCATTTCTCTGCACCTCACTGCCCTCTCCACGCCAGCCCTACGTAGAGTCCATGGAAGAGACTGCCCGTAAGGAATGATCTGAAAGACCTTGTGCGTTGGAATCCAAAAAGATGATGAAGTGCGAGATGAGAGAGAGAGAAAAGACCCTGAAAGCCAACTTCCATTTTCACACCGAGGCCTCAGCTCATCATATAAAGACAAACGGTCCAATTAAAAATTGGACGGAGGGTCTCAATAGACTTCTCTGCAGACAGACAGATGGCCAAGAAGTGCAAGAGAAAATGCCCAACATTGTTAGCCATCAGGGAGATGCAAATCAAAGCCGAAATATGATGCTACTTCACACCCACTAGGATGGCTCTAATCAAAAAGATGGACAGTGACAAGGATGGGGAGAACTAAGAACCTCATTACACTGCTGGGGGAATGTAGAATGGTGCAGCTACTTTGAAAAAGTCTAGTAGATCCTCAAAAGGTTAAACATAGAGTTACCCTATGACCCAGCAAAGCCACTGGTAGGGTAGGTACCAGGGGAAGTGAAAACATATATCCATATATATAAAAACCTGTATATGAATATTCATGGCAGGGTTATTTTTAATTGTCAAATGGAAACAACCCAAGTGGCCATCAACTAATAAATGTATAAACAAATTGTAGGACATCTATACAATGGAATAGTATTCTACTGTATAAAGCAATGCAGTAATTCATTGCAGCATGGATAAAACATGGAAACATGATGCTGAGAAGAAGTCAAACATCTGAGATCCTTACCAAGCTCAGCTTTGCTTTTTCCAGCCCTCCAGAAAAGTGAAAGTGAAAGTCACTCAGTCCTGTCTCTTTGTGACCCCTTCCCTCCCCATACTGGAATCCATCCCTTGAATCTTCTTTTCCCCATCTCTCTGTGTATACATTCATTTATCTATTTTTGTTACAGCTTTGTTGAAATATTCACACACTGTTAGAGTTCACCCATTTAAAGTGTCCAACTCATTGGTTTTTAGTAGATTCAAAAAGTTTTGCAGTATTTGCTATAATCAATATTAGAACATTTTCATCACCCTAAAAAGACTCTATACCCACTAGCAGTCACTCTATTCTGTGACCCTACCTGCAGCCCTTGGCAACCATCAATTTACTTTCTGTCTCTATGGATTTTCTTTTACTGGGCATTTCATATAAATGGAATCAAATGATAAACAGTCCTTTATGACCAGCTGTTTCACTTACATCATGTCAGAGTTCGTCCATGTTGTAGCATGTGTCTAAATTTTGTTTTTATTGTTAAATAATATTCCATTGAATGAGTGTACTGTATTTTCTTTATCCATTCATCAGCTGATAAATCTTTGCCTAGTCCTAGATCATGAAATTTACTCTTATGTTTTCTTTCAAGAGTTGTATAGTTTTGGCTCTTACATTTAGGTCTTTGATCCATTTTGAGTTAATTTTTTAAGTATTTATTTACTTATTTGTTTGTTTTATAATGTCCACAGCGGCTTTCTTTGTAGTATAACTAAACTTAGAACAACTATCAGGAGATAAATGGAGAAAAAAACTCTAGTATATCCACACAAGGGAATATGACTCAACAATAAAAAGGAGTAAACTATTGACATGAACTGAAGTGGAGTGGAAGTTGCTCAGTCATGTCCGACTCTTTGCGACCCCATGGACTCTACAGTCCTTGGAATTCTCCAGGCCAGAATATTGGAGTGGGTAGCTGTTCTCTTCTCCAGGGTGTCTTCCCAACCAGGGATCGAACCCAGGTCTCCTGCATTGCAGGTGGATTCTTTACCATCTGAGCCACCAAGGAAGCCCAAACTATTGATAGATGGAACTATAAAGATCAATCTCAAAATATCTTTGCTGACTATAAGCCAGACAACCAAACAGTACATTTGGCTGCACCTGGTCTTAGTTGCAGCACACAGGATCTTCTGTCTTCATTGCAGCCTGTATTAGATTTTAATTGTAGCATACAGTATCTTTTGGTTGTGGCCAGCAAACCCTTATCTGTAGCACGTGGGATCTAGTTCCCTAACTAGGGATCAAACCCAGGTCCCCGGCATTGGGACCGCCAAGTCTGAGCCACTGGACCACCAGGGAAGTTCCCATTTTGAGTTAATTTTTGTATATGTTATGAGGTGGTGGTCCAAAATCACTGTTTTGCATGTTGTCCTGGAACAGTTTTTGTAGAACTATTTTCCCCCCACTGAATTGTCTTGGTGCTATCCACAGATGTGAGGGTTTACTTCTGGACTCTCAATGGATTCTGTTCTGTTGATCTATATGTCTTTCTCATTGCAGTACCACACTGTCCTGCTTATGGTAGCTCTGTGATAAATTTTGAGATCAGAAGTGGAAGTCCTCCGAGTTTGTTCTTTTCTAGGTTATTTTGGGCCCCTTGTATTTCTGTATGAAATTTAGAACCAGTTTGTTAATTTCTGCCAAGAAGCCATTGGGTTTTTTTTTATAAAGATTGTGTTGAATATTTAAATCCATTTGGGAAGTACTGCTAACTATATTAAGTCTTCTCATCTGTGAACATGAGATGTCTTTCCATTCACTCTCAGAATCTTGAAACTTTCCAGGGTTGCATATCCTGGAATCCTGTGTGTTTGTGTCTTGTCCACTCCTGGAAATTCAGCCACCTTCTTTTACCACATAAGGTCTCTTGCCCTTATTACCCCCACAGACTTCTTGCCATATTTTGCTTCCATGACTTGGCTCCCTTCTACTGCCAGCAGCTGGGTCTGTCCCAACTCATAGGAGCATCTAGTTGTCAGGTCACAAATCAAACTAGTCTGGACCACCCAGTGTCTACAGTCTCTTAGCCCCCAGTCTCCTCCTTGAAGTAACAGGCAAGGTGAGGATTCTTGATTATGGTGTTTTGATTACACCATGATTACAGAGTTTTCCATCTGTATCATTTCCCTGTGGGGTAGCCAGAGGTTGGGTAATAGAAACAGAAGCATATGCATGCGCGCACACACACACACTTGCATGAATTTGCCACTAAATTCAATCAATAAAGGCCCAGAGGAGGTGTGCAAACACTCAAGAAGGTCCCAGTATCCTCACGGAGGGAGTTTGGGAAACTAAAGATGGAAGAGCTTGAAGTGCGTCTGTGCTGACTTGAAACACTCACCGGCAATCTCATTTACAGAGCATATACGAGAGAGTCTCACAGATCCCTGAAACTTCTCCGTGTCTTCTTCCTCTTCTCCTTCATCAGTACCAGGAAGTTCATTTTTACAAATTAGTCCTTCTTTAAAAAAAAAAAATATATTCTTTATGTATTTTATTTTTGGCTTCACTGGGTCTTCCTTTCTGCACAAGGGCTTTCTCTAGTTGCGGCGAGTGGGGCCAGCGCTCTAGTTTCAGCATGCAGCCTTCTAAATGCAGTGGCTTCTGTTGTTGCCCAGCGTGGGCTCTGGAGTGCGTGGGCTCACTAGTTGCGCACACGGACTTTGTTGCCCTTCAGTATGTGGACTCTTCCCAGACTAGAGATGGAACCTGTGTCCCCGGCACTGGCAGGGGTATTCCTAACTGCTGGACCACCAGGGAAGTCCTAACAAATTAGTCCTTCTTGACAATTGGAAATGCTTTGTTTATCCTGCTTGGGACCAAGAGAAGTTAGATGGTCCCATTTTCCTCTGGGAGCAGGGCCATTTGGTCCTGGAAGCCTGCTGTGCCCCTGAAGAAGATGGCAAGTTGTCACCTCCTTGGGCGTTTGCAGCTCTTAAAGGCAATTAACATTTCAGCCTTCCACTTAAATATTCCAGCCACAAGTGCCACCTGTATATGATGGCACTGGGGTGGATGCTTCCAGAAGGCCGGGCATCTGTGCTCTTAAGAGACTCCAAATAGAGCATGTTGATAATGTAGAATTAGACCATTGTACCCTTTGTGCTTCTATGAATAAAGATGGTCTGTTATTTTAGTTTGAATTTTCCCTTATAGTTCTATAGGGCACAACTTCAGATTGGAAAGAAAACCTTCATGGGCGCCAATTGTGCTTTACTGGGAAATTCAGAAAACCCATGTCACTAGGGGTACCTCACATGTATGGATATTTCATAGGAAGAGATAGATTTTAATATTCTGAGCCGCTGTATCTATAAGAGAAATTCCTCCAAACCTGTTTTTCTACCAGTTTTAGTCAGGTGAGGTTAAACTCTGCAGCAGTAACAAACCAGCCCCGAAATCTCAGTGGCTTTATATAATAAAATACATTTCTCACTCATGCTATCTCCTGAACCACTGCTTTCAAGTTGAGGGGTGGGGGTGGGGGAAGCAGTGGTCTTTGGGAATTTCTCTGTTGGGCTGATGAAGTCCTTGCCCCCGCAGGTGTGGCTGTGTGGGGGCAGCATGGAGGTCCTGCCTTGCTCACGGGTGGCCCACATCGAGCGGAAGAAGAAGCCATACAACAGCAACATCGGCTTCTACACCAAGAGGAATGCTCTACGGGTTGCCGAAGTCTGGATGGACGACTACAAGTCTCACGTGTACATAGCATGGAATCTGCCGCTAGAGGTAGGACCTTCCCCATCACCCTAGAACACTGACCTTGTGCTTGACCGGTCACTGATCCCTTTACTAATCCGATGCTTCCTCCCCAGAAAGATGCGCACCCTTGCAGGATTATAAATAGACTTGGACGTGGCTTACAGACCTCCAGGCTTTGGAACACCTGCTTTACATGGGGATTGGCACCATGGAAATCTCTAAATCCATTTGCAGAGATTAGAAGGACTATAGTGTGTTAATTCCAGTCTCGTTATATTCATCTTGACACTGAGTGTCAAGACCTGCTCTTGAGTGTACACTGTCTCTAGAAGATGCTAGCCCAGTTTTTGGCACGACTCCATCATCCGCTCTCCCTTCCTGCAGAGCTCCAGCTGCCCCGTGATGTAGGTTCCTACTGCACGCTGGATCCTTGCTTACACGGCTCTTCAGTTCTCTTCCATATTCCACCCAGAATATAATCTAGGAAAGTTCCCATTACTACAGCCCCATAGGAGTCTTGTATGGCAGGTGTGCACAGGCTTGTTTGGAATTCCAACCTTGCCACTTGTAATTATGACATGTTGAACAAATCTAATTATCATCTCTATATCTTAGGTTCCTCAGTTATCAGATGGGGATTATAGCAAGCCCTCCTTCCTTTAGGTTGATTGTGGGGACTAAATTGGAAGTACTTAATCTGAGTATTAAGTACTAAAGCTAAGGACATGTGATGTACTGGAGCAATGCCTGGCACAGGATGTGAAATGTTGGCGAGTGTTTTTGTCCTTCATAGCCCAGTGTGCTGACCTGTACTCTCAACCATAGTCAGGTTTAGCTGTTCAGCTGGAGCTCCTGTAGTGTCCGAGCCATGGAATTGTTCCCACCGAGAAATGGCAGCCCCTGTGTTTCAGGAGGCTGGAACCCCAGACAAGAGAAGTGCAGTCAAATATGTCTAGGTTGGTGGATAAACAGGATACAAGTGAAGAATTTTTTATCATTGTTGTTACAATTATTAAAATAATGTTCTAAAGCACTGAAAACCCCCTTCCGGCCACGTAGCACTTTATAGCCATTAAGCTAGAAGTGATTTTCCACATTATTGTATAAAATAGCATCCTTTCTGAGCCCCTTGTACTGTCCCAGGCACTCACTAAGCTTCTTGTTTGCAATATCTCCTTCACCCCTCATAACAACCTCATGACAGAGGAACTACCTGCCCTGATGTCCTCATCTATAGAGTCGAGATTGGTACCCTTGATCTCATAGGGCTCCTGGGAAGATAAAAATGAGACTTAAAATAGAGCATAACAAATATTGTGTTCAATAACTGCTAGTTTGATGTGAACCTATTATGATGTCCGTTTTATAGATGGGTAAACCGCAACTCTGGCAAGTTAAATTGACTTGCTTAAGGTCCTACACCCAGCACATCATAGAGCAGAGATGTGAAATGGTGTTTTCATTCAGCTCTGCCTACAGCCCTGTGACATCATTGGAACAAGTGTTGTTATTTTTATTGTTTGAGATGAGAGCAATGACTTAGGCTGGGGATGTGACTTTGGGTCAGAAGAACTCAAGGCTGGTCTCCCAATGCTTTCTCCATCATTACAAACCACCTTGGGTCCCTAATCCCAGTGTTCCTTACCTGGCTTTTCACAATGACCATCCTCATTAATCTTGCTAAGTATATTAAAATAAAGAGTTAAAATATCACTGCCCAGGTTTGCCTTTGAATGTTAATAAGTTTGACATTTAAAGGGACTTTTCTTTTAAAAATCCCTGTTCGGCTGCCGAAGAAGAAATCTTAATGAAATCGTTTAAACTCTTCTCCTCTTGCTCTAAAATGCTCCTTGCCTGCCCGTCATAATGAAGGGGTATCCTGTCTCTACCTGATCAGAGCCGTCTTGTGGCTGACTCTGGAGTCATATTTCAGCTACTTTATTTTCCCCTGTCAGCACACAGCAGCCCATTACAGGTTCATTTCTGTAAAAGCAGAGTGAATTATTCATTAGAACATCATTACAAGCTTTGCAATGGAAAATTATTTTCACATCTGCATATAATGAACTTCACAAAGAGCCTGCAAAGGGGGGAAGGGGGAATTACACATGTACAAAAAAGAAAGGCAGGAGGTGGTTATAGGCATTTCTTTTCTCATCTTAATCAAATAATTCCTGTAATAATTGGGTCTGAGAGTCACTGAAGAAATGGCAGAGATGGAGCTGGGAAGGCAGGTTGTCAGTATCCGAGTATTGCAGGATCCCTTTCATGGTGATGAGGAAGGCTGGCTTGGGGGGCTGCATACTGTGCCCAGGGGGACAGTACTGGCTAGCTCAGAACTAAAGGATCACGTACAGGCTTCAGATTTCTCTCTGATGGTTTTCCCGAAGGTGACACTGCCCGTCCCCTGCTCTGGTCAGAGCCTCCCAATCACTAAACCCTTTTGCTTGCTTTCAGAATCCAGGAATTGACATAGGCGATGTCTCTGAAAGAAGAGCCTTAAGGAAAAGTTTAAAGTGTAAGAATTTCCAGTGGTATCTGGACCACGTCTACCCAGAAATGAGAAGATACAATAACACCGTCGCCTACGGGGAGGTAACGAAGACCACACTTGCTCTCGACTTGGATGGCTGTGCAGGGGGCTGTGGATCACTTGGCTGGGGGTGAATGACAAAGTCATTCACTCATTCATTCATTCAGCGATTAGTTTTTTAGAGGTGCCGGCCTTCACAGCAAGGCTCTCACCAGCTGGTATGAATGAATTGTGAATTGTGCGTGAGTGCTCAGTCGTATCCAACCGTTTGCAGTCCCCCAGGACTGTAGCCCTCCAGGCCCCTCTGTCCATGGAGTTCCGCAGGCAAAAATACTGGAGTGGGTTGCCATTTCCTTCTTCAGGGGATCTTCCCGGCCCAGGGATCGAACCCTCATCTCTTTGTCTTCTGCATTGCAGGCAGATTCTTTACCATCTGCCTGATGGTACCAGGGAAGCCCCACCAACGGGTGGTGAGATACATGTAATAAATGTCACAATGGGGATGTGGGCCATCATTTGGCCTATGGTGTGGAATGGACCATAAATTCTGTTTAGGGCATTTGAGGTACCCTGGGACCTGTACTGAGACGCTGAGCGGCAAGTTGGATGTAAAGAGAGGCGGAGACTAGACCTATCTGTCCAGGGCCCACTGCCATATGCACTGGGGTCACTTGTGGCCAAAGAAAGGATACAGATGCTCTTCTCAGATTTTCTATGCTGAGACAATGTCACTTTTCTGAACATTAAAACAGATTGACCTTTCTCATAGTAAAAATGCCATAAATTTGCATTTTGAAAATAGCAACAATAGCAGTGAACACTTAAAATGTGCCAGTACTGTTCTAAGTGTTTTTCACATGTGAGTTCAATCATCCTTGCTTTATCAGGTAGTGGTGTTATTCCCATTTTATTGATAGGAACACTGAGACTTGGAGACATTAAATACATTATCTAAAGTCTCATAGCTTATAAATCATGAAGCCAGGATTAGACTTGAGCATTCTAATCCCAAAGGTAATGTGTACATTTGGACGTATGGTCTGATTTATTACATGTGTGTTTATATTTCTTTATACTAAAAATATTTATTTTTATATATGTGTGTGTGTATGTGTGTGCATGTGCTCTGTTGTGTCCAACTCTTTGCGACCCCATGGACTGTAGCCTGCCAGGTTTATACATATACTTTTTATATACACATCTATTTGTATTGGTATATGTATATATATATATATTTTTTAAACTAAAACCAGACTGTCCACAATGCCTTATAATTTGAAATGTTACTAATAATAGAGAATATTTTCCTGTGTCCTTAAGCACTTTCCTGCAACATTATTAATGGCTGTGTAAGATGGTATAAATATATATATATATATATATGTTTTAAACTAAAACCAGGCTTTCCACAATGCCATATAATTTGAAATGTTACTAATAATAAAGAATATTTTCCTGTGTCCTTAAGCACTTTTCTGCAACATTATTAATGACTGTATCAGATGGTATTAAAAAGTATATAAGTTTTAAACTAAAACCAGGCTGTCCACCGTGCCTCGTAATTTGAAATGTTACTAACGAGACAATATTTTCCTGTGTGGTTAAGCCTTTTTGTGCAACCTTATCAATGGCTGTGTAAGATGGTACCTTTTGTGTATGGCTATGTTTTGCTTGAAAACATAGACATTTCCATTGTTTCTTTTTTTTGTTTGTTTAACATTGTAAGAGCACTGCTGACAACATGCGTGTATGTAAGCGCTGGGACATCTGCCCCGTGACATCGCTGTGTTTTTGGATGAGGGATTAGTGACACAGACTCTGGTCAGACCTCAGGGAGCCAAGTGCTCTGGACCCAACAGAGATGCCCCACTCGCTCTGCATTTGGGTTTCTTCCCAGGGCTCCCTGGAACTCCTGAAGCGGAGAAAACCCTCATGGGCTTAGAGCATCTCCTTTTTCTGCAGTTGTGCCTTTTTCTATTTTATGGGAGAAAGCTTTTGGAGGAATTAAGTCAGCCCCAGGTTAAATCATCAAAGTGCGGGCCAAGTGTCCCTTCCGAGCTGGAATCTGGATGCGGAGCTTGCTTCTTATGGGGCTTCCCAGGTGGCTTGGTGGTAAAGAGTTCCCCTGCCAATGCAGGAGTTGCAAGAGACGTGGGTTTGATCCCTGGGTCGGGAAGCACCCCTGGAGGAGGAATTGGCAACCCAGTCTAGTATTCTTTCCTGGAGAACCCCATGGACGGAGGAGCCTGGTCGGCTACAATCCATGGGGTCACAAAGAGATGGATAAGGCTGAGCAACTGAGCACGCACGCCCACAAGTGTAGTGGTTAGGGACGCGCGAAGATTCGAGAGCCAGCCTGCTGGATTCAAGCCCGAGTGGCTCCTTTTAGCATCTGTCCCCCCTTCTGTAAAATGAGGATGTGAAAGTACCTACGTCGTGGGGTTGTTGGGAAGATGAAAAACAAGACGCCATATACAGACTTCTTAGCACAGTACCTGGCACGTCCTGCTAGCTATTAATAGGCACACACTGCCTTGTCTTCCTCAAAATAAAAACATGTTTCTTTTTGTTTTTGGTTTTCAAAGATCAAACATAAAGATCGCATGGAAAAACGGTGGGCGGTGAAAGGATTATTCATAAGACAATTGGGTAAATCACCCAGCTCTTTGGAAGAAAAGAACACTTTAGATTCTTAAAGCAAATCCCAAAGTACATTTCAGATGGACTATAAGCATTAAATGAAAGAAAAGAAACCATAATGGAACCATCCAGAAATAGATACATATCTGAACTCTTAAAGGGGAAGGGCTTCCTAAGAGCAAAAGCTATGGAAGAAAATGCAAAGGAAAATGACATTTGATATGGGCTCATAAATATTAAAATAACCTATATATCAACTGAATGGAGAAATAATATGCCAAGGTGGAAATCTGTATATCATAAATATGATAGATGAATGGATAATATCATTAATGTATAATGAACTCTGCAAATAAATTTTAAATGAAATTTTTTATTTAAATGAGAAAACATCTCCAAAGAAAAAGAGACAAAGTACAAGAGAAAATACAAGTGGGTGGAATTTTTGTATTTATTTCATAATCAAAGAAGTTAAAACAAAGTTTAAAATACACTGGGGTAAAAATAAAATAAAATACACTGAGGTAGCATTTTGTCTTATACCAAAAGAACAAAGATTCCTTTTTGAAATATCTGTTGGTGCTTCGCCAGCCAGGTCTTGATAATATGAAAACCACAAATCCTCTGATGAGAGTGCAAATTGAAACAAGCTTTTTAAAAAGCAATTTGAACCACATGTATTAAAAGGCTTACTTCCTCTCCACTCTATCCCAAGCAAATAATCTGAAATGAGGACAGAGATTTGCCAGAAACATTGTTCATCTCAGGGATTTTTGTTTCTTTGATCAAACATTTGAATTTAACTTGAAGGTTAGTTAAATTGTAGTTTGCAATATTTTGCAGCATTTCAAAAGATATATACAAAAGTTTGATGCAAGAAAAGTATTGATAATATAAGCCTTAAGAGAAAAAAGTCAGGATTATGAAATTAGATTAGCCACTATTTTAAATTAGTAGTAAAGAATCCGCCTGCAATGCAGAAGATGTGGTTTCAATCCCTGGCCCGGGAAGATCCTCCAGAGAATGAAATGGCAACCCATTCCAGTATCCTTGCCTGGGAAATCCCATGAACAGAGGAGCCTGGTGGGCTGCAGTCCACGGGGTCACAAAAGAGTTGGAGATGACTTAGAGACTAAACAATAAAGTAAGACAAGAGAATGGGAGGTGGAACTTCTACATAGGGGACAGGCAGTTTTTAATGTGGTATTTTCTCATGTTTCCTCAATTATCACTAATATTTATATGATAATTTTATGATTAGAAGAAAAATAGTTACAAAAAGAGAAACAATAAAAATGATAAAATGCTAGGAGGCTAGGGCACCGTTCCACAGGCTGTGCACTGCACATTTCACATGAAGCAGAGTGTAAATGACATCTCTGGAGCTGAAGGTTGGAATGGCCTTAGAGGTAACATAGAGGTCATAATCTGATTTTTGGAGGAGGGAAAGCTTTTGTTTTTGCAAAATTTTCCTCTCTTTTTTAAGTAATAAATTCAATACATACAGCATACAGAAAATATGAAGATGAAAACAAAGCTTATTTCAGATCCCAATTCCCAGCTATGATCAGTATTAACAAGTCAGGGCACTGGCCTCTTGTTACTCCTTCTGTGCTTGCTGAGCCCGCTGTATACTGAAATATATTTCAGATGGACGACAGTATTAAGTGGAAGACATCAAACTGAGTCAAATTCAGTCTAGTAACAAAATCTAGCCTTATTCAGACAACTCTGATTTAACATTCCTATGGGTTGTTTTCACTACACCCTGCCTAACCACCTATTCTGTGTGTACTTTCTGCTTTTTGTTTTTCACGTACGATTCTGTTTGAGTGTTTTTCTGTAGGCCGGTGAATATTTCTGGTTTTAATGCTGCAGTCTCTTTCCTTAGTTTTTAACTCACTTGTTTGGAGGCTTTTTAAAAAGCTTTCTAGTTCTGTAAACTGTATATATCCCGTTCTTAGTCACGTTTTGGTAACTTCTATTTTTTTAAAAAAATTCTAATTTAAAGATTTTTTAAAACTTTTTTTTGCCAGTGCCCCATGGCATGTGGGATCTTAGTTCCCCTACCAGGCAAGGCACCAGTGCCCCCTGCATTGGAAACATGATTTCTAAAATGACATTTTAAATTAACTCTACTTCAGTAAGGCTTCCCAGTTGGCGTTAGTGGTAAAGAACCTGCCTGCCAATGCAGGAGACTTAAGTGGGTTCGATCCATAGATTGGGAAGATACCCTGGAGAAGGAAGTGGCAAACTACTCTAGTATTCTTGCCTGGAGAACCCCATGGGCAGAGGAGCCTGGTGGGCTACAGTCCATGGGGTCCCAAAGAATCGGAAATGACCGAAGTGACTGAGCATGCATGCATACTTCAGTAAAAGCTGAAGCTCCGATACTTTGGCCACCTGATGCAAAGACCCGGCTCATTGGAAAGACCTTGATGCTGGGAAACACTGAGGGCAAGAGGAGAAGGGGGCAACAGAAGATGAGGTGGTTGGATGGCATCACTGACACAATAGACATGAGTTTGAGCAAACTCTGGGAGATAATAAAAGACAGGGGAGTCTGGTGTGCTGCAATCCATGGGGTTGCAAAGAGTTGGACATGACTTAGAGACTGAACAACATACTTCAATAAAAAGGAAAAAAGGAAAAAGATATGCAAATATGTTATGTCCTGACTCACACATGTAAGATATTGTCTTCCCAATGCACAAGCACTTCGATGTGTACAGAAACATTAAGCCACCAACTCTTGCTCAAAATTCTGTGCTTGGCTCATATGGAAAAACCTACGCTCCCTAGTTCACTTTTGCTCATCTTTTTTTTTTTTCCTTTAAGCATTATTTATATGAAATACAGCACACATAAAATATGCATAAACCCAACATGTGCAGCATAATAATATAAGGTAAAAATCCATGTAGACATCCCCTGAGTGAAAAATAGAACATCATTAGCATCTCTTTTACTTAATCCTTTTTAACATTTAGCTCAGGAGTCACCTCCCCTTAGTCTTTGAAGCCTCAGGTGGGGTGAGGGCATTCTCTTTGCTGCCCTGGCATAATTCAGTTATTGTACTAGCTCTTCCTGTGACTGTCTCTCTCACCAGCCCATCCTTCAGAGCAGGTACTCTTGGGTTTTTCAGTCTTTGTATTTGTTAAACTTAGCACAATACCAAACTCTTAGCAGCTTCAGGAAACATTTATTAAGTTACTGCACAATAGATTTGTTTGCATAAACATCAGGAAAAAATTTAAAAGACTAGCATTCTGATATCATTATATGGAACACATATGCCCTAAAAACATTAATATTCTTAATATGTAAAGAGCTCTTACAAATCTATAATAAAACCACTTGAGATCCCAATGGGGAAATAAGCCAGTAATTCTCAAAAAGGGAAATAATTGCTAAACATGAAGCCTTCCAACTTACCATTCAGTGTAAATTTATAAAAATAGGATATCTTTTGTCAGTCCCCCAAACAATATTTTGTTATTAATTTTACCACCTCTCATTTTTACTTTACTTATTTTAAAAACTTTGTTAGACTTCATTAGACATTTCTACCATATTGCTCTTCTGTATGCAAAAAAAAAGAGAAGAATACAAGCAAAATGCCTGGGTAAAAGTATTGCTAAAATTTCATCACTTTCAAAAGTCTAACTCTTCTGAATTACTTTTTTACTCAGAAGTTGTCTGAGTTTTTCCATATCATTGTACCACTGAAAGCACTCGCAGCAAGCATTTCTTAAAGCATCTATTAATATAAAGGAACTAAAGTTGTGGTGCTAAGTTGTGGTCTCCTAAGCTAGCTTTGCCATTCTTTAAAGATTGCTTGCTTTGGACCATCTTTGGAAATGTCTGATTCATCACTTCTCTCTACACCCCTCTTTATGGACTTTTGGAATAGTGGGTTTAAAAGAATGCTTCTCTTTAAGAAAAGAAAAAGAGAATCCACCCTAGGTGTTTCAAACACAAGTATTTAAGACAAAGAATTGGTTCCAGGAGAAAAGGGGTGATATTCAGCTATCAGAAGCTGTCTTTCCTCTGGCTTGAAACCAGTAGGCTACAAAAAAATGCTCCTCTATTGATTTTTTCCCCCCCAAGCTGGTGTTCTTTTTCTTTCTTTCTCTCTCTCCAGCTTTATTGATCTGTAATTGACATTTGAAAGTGTTAATTGCTCAGTCGTGTCCTTACTCTTTGCGACCGCATGAACTGTAGCCCACCAGGTTCCTCTGTCCATGGGATTCTCCAGGCAAGAATAGTGAGTGGGTTGCCATTCCATTCTCCAGGGGATCTTCTTCACCCAGGGATTCAACTCGTGTCTCCCCATTGCAGGCAGATTCTTTACTGTCTGAACCACCAGGGAAGCTAATATTGTATAAGTTTAGGTGGTACAATCTCCACGGTAACAGTCGCAGCCACCTCAGATCGCCGCAGTTGCCATCTCGAGTGAATTTGGCGGGAGCTGCAAGATGAACTAGCCAATGGGAGACATGCGTTTTTCGCAGCCCTTGGGCCCTGTGTGTCTTAGTCGCTCAGTCCAACCCGATTCTGTGTGACCCCACAAACTGTAGCCCGCCAGGCTTCTCTGTCCATGGACTTCTCCAGGCCAGAATACTGGAGTGGGTAGCCTGTCCCTTCTCCAGGGGATCTTCCCAACCCAGGGATCGAACCCAGATCTCCAGCATTGCAGGTGGATTCTTTACCAGGTGAGACGCAAATGAAGCCACAGGGGAAGCAGATTCTTTACCATTTGAGCTACAGGGAAGTCTGGTTCAGACGGTAAAGTGTCTGCCCGCAATGCAGGAGACCCCATTTCCGGAGATGGAAATGGCAACTGACTCCAGTACTCTTGCCTGGAAAATCCCATAGACAGAGGAGCCTGGTAGGCTACAGTCCATGGGGTTGCAAAGAGTCGGACACGACTGAGCGACTTCACTTTAAATGGTACAACTTGTTAATCTGATACCTTTACATATCGCAAAATGACCACCATAACATTTGCTAACACGTCACATATGCTGAGAATGAGGGATTATGTGCTTGGTGGGGTACGCGGTCACAGGCAGAGGGTCGGTGCCCACACCACCCACTGGAGGACTGTCTTTCTTGCTAAATGATCTCCTCCAAGATTCAAGCTTTGGTCCTTACTTGGAGGTGTGGGTGTGGAGGGGAGGTCTCATGGCGTCTGCATTAAGAAGTCAGAACCAAGTCAGGGTGGGGTGGTGGGTGGGGAACAGTCGCTCTGCCAGACAAGGTCTGACGGGTCCTGTTTGGCCTGTTCCTGCAGCTTCGCAACAACAAGGCAAAAGACGTCTGCTTGGACCAGGGGCCAATGGAGAACCACACGGCAATACTGTACCCGTGCCACGGCTGGGGACCCCAGGTAGGAGCCCCGTCTCTGACCAGGAAGGGAGGAAGTTCACTGTACCTACTGGGGATTCGTAGGACTTCTGGAAACTTCTTTTGTCCTCTCCTTTGGTAGTTGTTGCCTGTTCTGAGCAGGCGAGGGGCTTTCTGGTGGTTTCTCTACAGGAAAGAGGGAGAAGATTCACAGGTGGCTGCATCAACACAATTAAGAGGATAAAGGGGCACATTTCCTACTGAAAGGAAACTGTGCTTACATTTTGGTGTCATTTGCTAATAGGCAAATAGATGTCACATGTACGTATGTCTACTGATAACCAAGCAAGCCTGCTTACAACATCAAAGAAAGAGTTAGTCACTTCCCTCATGAGAATCTGATTGGTGTGTGTGTTCCGAAAGGCCATTGTAAGCTTTTCTTTAATGTTTATTTAGCTATTCAGTTGCACTGGGTCTTATTTGCCACACACAGGAACTGTAGCTGTGGTATGTGGGATCTAGTTCCCTGAGCAGGGATCGAACCCAGGCCCCCTGCATTGGGAGTGTGGAGTCTTAGCCACTGTCATCAGTTTGGTGGTGAGTATGGCCCGGTCTGCAAGCGCTGGTACAAGTGCTGAGCACTGATTGGGAAGGAGTAATGTGCTGGCAGTAACATTTTAAAGAATGCACGTGTCTTCTGGTCTCTCAGGAGATAGCAAAGATAACCAAAGAGGGCAAAACAATCGACCAACACAATAAGAGTAGAACTTGGTAAATGAATTTCCTTTGACAACTTTGTGTTAGCCCATGGTGTGTGTGCGCATGCGTGCGTGTATGGACGTGTGCACTGGGAGAGCTTAGCAGGTCCTCTAGAACTGGGAGGAAACAGATCCAAAGACATCATGAGACTTGACATGCATAAAAATGTAAAACAGTTTTATGTTAACCAGTAATAAAAGGCAGGCCACAAACTGGGAAGACATATTCAGTTTCAGAGGCGCACGAGATGGTTGGTTCTAAGCCAGACTCATATTCTCCTTTTGTTCGTCTATGAAAGGAAGCCGTTGGCCCCATTGCCCCTTAGATCCCTTCATCTCTCTCATGTTCTCTGAAGACACCCGTTCACCAGCAAGTTCACGTGCATCGGGCACACACATATCCTCTCATGTGCATTCATGGCTCATGGGCTTGCTCTGCTCCGGGCACTGTGCTTTCCTGTTAAGCTGGCGTCTGGAAAGAGACGAGCCGTATTTCCTCTACTGTCCCCGCAGGTAGTTCTCATAATCCAGGCTCCCGCTCCCTTCATTGTGCAACCAGTCCTCTGAAAGTAATTCCAGGCAGGTTGAATCCTGAGTCCTTTGCTCCTTGTGCTCACTCTAGGAGACAAGCAGGCAGCATGGAGAAACTGAGGCACGGAGAAGGAGTGCTTGTGAGCAAAGCCGACCAGAATCCAGGCATTTTAAATTCAAATCCAGTCCACTGAATTCAAGATAATTTCCTGCCTACTCCCTGCCCAGACAGGAGCTGGTCACCAAATTCTCCTCTCTTTCTGGGAGCTTGGTGGCCTTCAGAGCGCAGTGCAGAAAATATCTAGAACGCATCTTTTACCCATCCCTTCTGCATTCACAAACTTTTCCAAATGGATGCTCCTGCCACTTCGTTGATGATGGAACAGCAAACCAAATCAGGCTCATCCTTAATCCCCCCAGTTCTGGGAGGAACACCTGTTAGCATGGGCCATGGTTGTCCATCAGCTGATTTTGTGAAAGCAAATCTAATTTTTTTTTTTCTGTTCTACCACATGTCCTGAATTAGAGTGCAGCCTTGGTTCTGCTTGCTCGCTACCTGCCAGGCTGCCTCGCCCCTCGCTCATCAAGCTTTCCTCCTATTCCTTCCCAAACCTGCTCACCCTAGGCTCGGAGCGTCTCCCCACCAGTCATGTGCCCTGACATCCTTTTAAACCACCTGGTAAAGTGCTGTGGGCAAACTGCCTCAAAGCTCCTGTAACTAGGCATGTTCCACAGACATTGTTAGCTTAATTAATGGACTCTGTGTTGTAATTTATTATCAGACAGCAATTAAACAGAGATAAAATAGGCACTGAGGAGGGTAATTTCCTGTCTTCAACATGTGTTTGTCAACAAGATGGAAACGGTTCCCGGCCTCTCAGAAGAGCCTGCTCAATCACGAGCTAGTGACCAGCCTTGCTCTGGTCTGGTTACTAATTTGCATCAGACAAACATCGGTTTCTTTTCCGAGCCAGTGTTTTGTTTAAAGGTATTTTTCTTTAAACTGGCTATCTTTTATCTTAAAATTATTTTAAAATAAACTTTACATCACAAGCATAGAAAAAATATATGTCAAGGGCATAGCAGCAGCTTTTGGTGTCAGCTTGAACCTGTTTAGAGTGGGAGGTCTTCTCTAAGGAGGCCCATGGCTCCCTGCCCCAGCTTTTGCCATCTTGGACCCAGGTCTGGTGTTGAGGGGGTGGGCGGTGGGGTGACTTCACTGGAACAGCCAAGGACTCCCTGCCAGGATGCCAGCTGTGGGATTGTCCTCCTCTGCCAGCCCCTTCTTGCTCTCTCTTCCAGCCTACCTGGTCAGCCTGTCAACCCTCCCCATTCTGGAAGGCAAAGATCAAGAAGGGAGCACAGAGTGGGCAGCCCTGGGCCCAGGGCCTCATTCTTTAATCCCCCTCCAAAGGCTCTGAGGCTCCTCTCAAGCCCCTGTGTCTGAGCTGCTGCCCGAGGTCCCAGCGATGCAGTTCATGCCAGCCCTCTGGCCAGTGCTATGGCTGGCTTGAGACAGGGAACAAAATGTTGACGATAAACCCATTTCTGGTTAGGGCAACGTTTAATCCTGTACCTGTCAGGCAGGTAGTGACCACCCTCCCCCCAGCTCCCTTTGAAACTTGAGATTCAGGCTATGCCAGGCCACTTCTCAAACTATCCTGTGATCTCTGGTCTTGAATGCTGGGCTCTACCATCTGATTCATGGCAGGAGACCTAGCTTGTGTCCTTGAGCCCCCAGCGTCCTCTAGTTCACAGCAAGATGTAGAAGGAAGGCTTGAAGCAAGCGTGGAGGCAGTGCCAGGCAAGTGTAACGTAAGAGCAGAGGTGTAGAGATGGGGGTTGGGGTGGGATACGGCGTGTTCAGGGAAACATCAATGCGTGGCTGAAGCATGCGATCCAGGGCAGCCATATATGTGTGTGGTCAGTCGTGTCTGACTGTTTCCAACCCCATGAACTGTAGCCCGCCAGGCTCCTCTGTCCATGGGATTTTCCAGGCAAGAATGCTGGAGTGGGCTGCCATTTTCTACTCCAGGGGATCTTCTCCACCCAAGGGTCAAACCCGCATCTCTTGTGTCTCCTGCATTGGCAGGCAAGTTCCTTACTACTGGCACCACCTGGGAAGCCCTATGCCTCGTATACCAGCCTATTTTTTTTCCCCAATTTATAATGCTATTTCAGTTTTTATATAATGTTGTTTTCACTTTTAAGGTTAATTCATTCTTTTTATAATATAGCTTTGCAAGTTTCTTTTAAAGTTTTATTTTCAATACTTTTTAGTATTTCACAGGACTTTTTGCACTACCCGACTGTGCTTCCTTGAAAGCCACAAGAGAGAACAGTCTTAAACATTTGTTTTTGATGTGGGTCATTTTTAAAGTCTTTATTGAATTTGTTACCATATTGCTTCTGTTTTAAGATTGGGATTTTTGGTCATGAGGTACATGGAATCTTAGCTCCCCGACCAGGGATCGAACTTACCCCCTCTGCATTGGAAGGCAAAGTCTTAGCCACTGGACAGCTAGGGAAGTCCCAGTTTTGCAAGTTGTTGACAAAACATATGGTCAGGTAACCCCACCACAATCAAGAGCAGTTCTGCACCGCCCCAACACTCCCCTGAAGCCCCTCCTCATTTGTCCCTCCCTCTGCCCCCAAGTGTTTTTATCCACATCCAAGCTGAGGATCAGCTGCTCTGGGGGTGTTTCTGTGCGCCATCCGCACAGCCTCACCGATTCCAGTGCCGTTTTCTCCTCCGGAGCTGAGGACCACAGCGCCCAGCAGCCACGCCGTGGACAGGGCATGGCCAGCCAGGGTTCCGAGTGCAGGGGCCCTGGGGACTCCACACAACACTCTTTGAAAGAGCTCCAAGCTCTCATGGGACCTTCTGAAGATGAGGTATGCCCCTTGGAGAGGAACTGAGAGGAGCCAGCTCTGTTTAGGAACTCCCCAGTGAGTTCCAGGGAGGGTATCACAGGTCTCCCCGTTTGTCCGTCTTTCAGCACATTTAGTCTTCCTCTCCCCTCTTTTCTGAGAAGCACACATTCCCTCCTCCAGCTAATTCATCAGCAGAGTGATAGATGAGAATTCCTTTATCCCGTAATTAAATGTAATCTGATCTTGGGCTTCCTCTTTGATGGCTTCATCGTTTAAGCGATCCATCATTCAAACACCTTGTCATGATGATGCATCTTGCCAATAAGGCACTAGTGCCCCCATGAAGTGATGGGGCTTAGAGTGTGGAAGGCTCTTGGAACACGCCGAAGTTAACGACACCCAGCAGCCTCGGCTTCCAGATAAAGTTGTGTAAGTGGCGGGGCGCAGGGGACGGATCCTCGGAGAGCATGTTGGAGTTTGCACCCCAGGGCGAGGTGGCTTTGCCTTAGTAGGGAGGCTGGTGATTCTGGGAGCAAACCTCTCACCTTCTGTAAGAGGCAAACCATGTGACCCCTCAGTTCCTGGAAACTGCTACAAAGCAGGGAAACCTTAGCTTTTGAGCGAAACCAGCGTTGGAGAAGCGAGGGCAGGTATTTTTTTTTATGTCTGGGAAACCTATACACACACAAAAGAGGCCACAGAAAGCAGGAGAGACCACACCAGGGACACCCTGAAGCCGGACACCCTGCAGGGTCTGTGCTGCGGTATTTCCACTTCTTGTCTCTTATGCAATATTTTGGGCTCCCTTGGTGGTTCAGCGGCAAAGAATCTACCTGCAGTGCAGGAGACTCGGGTTCAATCCCTGGGTTGGAAAGATCCC